TCGTCGAGATCATCGACGAGATGGAGGATCCAGCCGAGCTGCCGAAGGCCTACGTGCAGCTCTCGGCCCCCTTTCAAGGGATGGCATTCGTCTTCGCTGGCCTCGTCGGTTACTGTTACATTGGCGACCAGGTCGAAGGCATGATATCTGACGACCTCCCATTCGGTCTGGCGTTTCGCATCTGTTCGTTCTGTTTGGTCACGCACATGGCCATCAGCTACGTAATCAAGAATGTTGTTCTTTGCAGGGAGGTGCACCGGAGTGTTGATCCCGACCATGTGGATGACACATCCTGGCGGTCATGGATTGTGTGGTACGCGGTGACTTTATCTGTGGCAGCTCTGGCCTATGTCTTGGCGAACATCGTGCCTTTTTTCGAAGATGCTGTAGACCTCCTAGGGGCCTCCGTAACACCTGCAGCTTGTTTCCTTTTGCCAATCGCCGCTTTTCTTCGTTCGTTCGTCGATGGCGGCAAGGACGGTTTGAGGATCGGAAAGCTCGAGGCCGCAGCAATTCTGCTCGAGGTGCTGTTGGCCGTTGCGATAACTTTATACGGCACGTTCGACGCTGTAAGGAACATAATCGCGAAGTGGGAGGCTTATGGATACCCCTTCGAATGCCACTGCCACGGCCTGTGGAGCACGTGCGGGTGCTCCGCTTCTCACCTCGGCATGGAGCACTGCGCGGCTCTGGCCTGATTTTGCTCCGTGCTCCAGATGGTGCAGCCCCGAATAAAGGGGAGAAGAGGACGTAGAGAAAGGGGAAGGAGAAGGATGAGCACAGGGTCAACCGTAGGGGGGCCAGGAGCAGAAAACACGTGGCAGAACCAGACGGGGAGATCGGGCGGGCAGACCCTGACGGGTAGGCTGGGAGGGCGGGCCCAAGTGGCTTGGTTGAGCAGCCGAGATGCCGAAGCGTGAGTATTACCTGAACGGTGAGGAGGTCTCGAGCGATAGCGCGATTCCCAAGTGAATTTCCAGAAAAGAACACAGCGAGAGCGCGATTCCTGAGCGTCGAGGGCGCGGCGTTGGAATCAATTGCGAGGAAGTTCGACGCGAGAGCGCGATTCCTGTATGAATTGTGAGGGGGTCCCGCGCGAGAGGGCGACGTTGAAATACGTTCGGATCCAGTGCAAGGCGGAAGCCGTTGTTGTTGTCGTTGTTGTTGTACCTCGGGGGCCAGGAGCCCTGTTTGGTGACTCCAGTTTTTCCCTTTTTGAAAACACGGTGCGAGCCCCCGAAGGAGCACTTGAATTGAAAACGTAGCTACCGGGCAGGGGGGATCAACAATGATTATTATTCTTTCGAGAAAAAAGCAATCATGTCAAGACTGTTCGCTCTTACCTCCCTCCTCGCGTGCCGTTCAAAGCAAACATCCCAAGCTCTCGATACCCGCCCTTTTCGTCTTCGATCGTACTCCTTTAGGACTGCATCTGTCGTACCTGCAACGTGTCTTTCGTGCAGCCCCTGAGGCAGGGGAAGAGAGGACGAATGGAAGGAATGGACAAGGGGCAGGCGGATTCTGAAGCGTGCGTCCTGCATGAGTCGCGGAAGTCTCGAGCGATAGCGCGATTCCCACAAATCGTGGGAAACCCACAGTGAGAGCATGGTCGAGGGCGCGGCGTCTGCATACATAGCGAGGAAGATCGACGCGAGAGCGCGGTTCTTGTATAAACTGTGGGGAAGTCCCGCGCGAGAGAGCGATTTGGGAGTAAATTGCGAGGAAGTATAATCGGGAGCCGTTGTTGTTGCTGTTGTTGTGCCCCTTTCTACGCAGCCTCTCCCCCTCCCCCCACCCCCTTGTGCGCGCCGCCAACACCGAGCGAGGCACAGGCTGAGTCGCCTGCGACCACCTGCGATCCCTGCCCCTGCGGGTCCCCTCGACTGCCTGGGCAGTGGTGCCCGACCCCCCCGCCGGGGCTCTCCTGGCTGCAGCCGCCCGTCGTGCTCGGAGCCCCGCCCAGGTTTGCAGACAGATCTGGCCTGCACGGGCAGGGGCTCGCGCGCGGCTGCCCAGGTCGGGCAGGGCAGGGCCGAGCTGGATCAAGCGGTGGCCCGTTCCGCGGCAGCCTCCTCCCTCGTCCCTGTCTCAAGGGAGGGCAAACAGAAACACCCAGGCCAGGCAACTGGCGTGTGCTGAACGGCCCTGGGCGCTTACTAAGCAGCCAGCCTTGACCTGCTTGACTCCCTCTCTGGGTGCGTCTACTGCACGGCTTCGCGTTGGCGCGGTGGTTGTTATCGGGGTGGATGTTCTGCCCTCTACTGTCGTCGTGCTTCCTCCCTCCGTCACAGCGGCAGCGCCGCGCCCGCTCCGACGAGGCAGGAGTCGGTGGGCGTTCGGGGTCACCGCACGGTTTTGGGAATTCGGGTCGTTCTCCGAGGACGTCTCGGGCGACTGGGGTCTCCGAGGTCCCAAGACCCGTGCGTTGACGGACCGTGCGGTGAGGTCTTGGGGGATTTCGAGGTCACCGCACCGTCCGTCGCCGCACCGTTATCGGGACTCCAAGCCGAGGGAGCTCTCTGCTCGCCCAGATTTGCCCGAGGACGACAGGCGGCACAGTCACAAGCTTTCGGAGCTCCGCGCGGGCTTTCTGCGGTTGGCACTGGCACGAGGATCGGCCGGGTGTGGCGCTAAAGTGCGTCATGTCTGTCTATATGTTTTGTAATGTTGAGACTCCTCCGTGGAAACCTCGCAAGCAAACAAAAAGAACAACATCAAACACAAGGTTGGCACTGGACCCCTCTGGCAGCGCCTCCTGCGCCGCCCCCTTGGTGTGCTCCGCGCACCAGGAATTGGGTTCAGCGGCAGGTCTCAGAACATCCACGCTGATTCCCCCAAGTCTGCATGTGTGTAGTTGTTTATGTTTCTTCGTGTACGCAGTGCCAAGCGGCCTCTGACCATTTGCCTTTCACCGGTGGCCCCGCAAAAGGCTTCTGGCCTGACGGATGCGTCGTAGTATTTGTTAGGTGTTCCCAGCACCTGCAATTGCCCTCTAGCTCGCAGCTCGAGCATCAGGCTCGGCGGATGTTGGCGGCTGGATGCCTCCATGGTAATGATCGTATCCGATCCCGCCCTTGAACCAACAAGAACGCCATCGGGACCAGCAGTTTCAGACTGACACGTTCGCCTTCGAGCCTTGTCCGTGTTAAGCCCCCTCCCCCTCTGTTGGGATGTCTGTCGTGGGAGGTGTCCATGAGAATCGGCGCTAGTGCACCCGCGGTTAAAACAGACCGAATCCGGCCTAATCAAGTTCGATCCGGCCTCATCCCATGGACCTGGCCCAAATTTGGGCCTACTATAGAACAATCCAGCCCGGCGACCCCTTCACGGAAGCCTTGGAGCGCTCTTACGAAGACCCCCCAGGGAGTTACCTCCTGCGGTAGGCGTTGGAGATATAGCGTGCGGTGTGGCGCCGCGCCAGCTCGCTTATGGCACGCTATTCCCCCATCTGGGGGGATAGCGTCAAGTCGGGCATGTCCCTCTACGGGAGGAGTATTCAAGAATAGTCCAACATTAGTCTGGTGGCGATTTTTTGACTATCCTTCAAATTGATTTTTGATATTTCGCTTGTATTCTTTATTTTTCGGCCTGAATCCGCCTGTAGGGGGATTAGCGCGCGCACAGAAAGGGGCCCTCGTGGGGGCATCGTCCCACAGGGATCGCGTGCTTTTTAGAGATCGGTGTTGCACGCTATCTTTCCAGCGCCAACCGTGAGATTCCTGACCTGGGGTCCGAAGCGATGGGGTAGGAGGATCGCGCCGTCTCGCCGATGCGGCGCGATGTGGTGCTCAATGTTCTCCGTCCTGGCGTCGCCGGGGCACCGCCGAGGCATCGCCGATGCGCTAGCGATGCGTCGGGGATGCGGCACGATCCTCCCAACCCTATCCACTCCCTCTTGGCATCGCTCGGACGTGTGCATTCTTCCTCGGCGAGCACCATCGAGGAGCATCCGGGAACACCCCGCGAAAAATACTTCCGCACGGAATCGAGAAGCGCACAGGGAAAAAGGACGTCCGAGCGATGGCAAGCCCTTGACATCTTGCGTCATGTTTTTTCACAGCGTCGACCCCCAGAGGTCTCAACCCATTCCCCGGGAGCGGCTTCTCATCCCGAGTCGTGTTGGGGGACGGGCGACGGCCCCCAGCGGCCAAACATTTTGCAGACAACCCTGTCGTCATCCGTGCGGGAGGCCAACGACGACGACGACGACGACGACGACGACGACGACGACGACGACGGCGAGAAGGCGCGGCGGGCCTTGTCTATAGTAGATGTAGGGCCTGCGGCTTCTAGGGAGCAGCCTCCTGCTAAGAGGCCTCCCCCCCTCCCTCCACCCCCTCGTGCGCGCCGCCAAGACCAAGCGAGGCACATGCCGAGTCGCCTGCGACCACCAGCGAAACCTCCCATCGACTGCTGGGTAGCGGCGGCGGACACCGCCGCCGGGGTTCGCTTGGCTGCAGACGCCCGTCATGTTCGGAGCCCCGCCCATGTTTTCAGAAATCTGGCCTGCACGGGTAGGGCTTTGCCCCCGTGTGTGTGCCGCCATGGTCAATCCCCCTGGTCCAGGAGCGGCCGAAGGACGTCCCCATGCATCTATCCACGCGGGTTTCGAGAGTACGCACCGCGTGAACGTTCGTAACACGAGGCTGGCCTCGCGGATGGGGGGGGCGTGTTCGTGCGGGTTCGTGCGGGGATGGTGCGCCGGCGACGCCGGCGAAGGCGTTCAAGGCTGAATCCTTCGACGGGGAAGCACCGAGGGGCACGGTGACGCCACTGTACCCGACGGAATTCAGCCCTGAGCGATCGGGGCCGCGATCGGTTCCAGGCGGAACGATCGCCGCGGCGTCAGACACCTGCGCGCGCGCCGACGCCGCGCGAACCTGCCGTACGGAGTTTGGCGCACTGCTGCGGGCCGCGCGCCGACGCCGCGCGAACCTGCCGTGCGTGGCTTGGCGCGCACGTCACCCGCGGGCCCCCCCTGCTGCGGGCCGCGCGGCCAGGCGCCCGTGGCCGGCGGCGCCCCGCCCGCGGCGGCGGAGATCCTGCGCCTCACAGCGGACCGCCGTGCCGCCGCCCCGACGCCGCGCCCGCAGGGCGTGGCGAGGCCGAGCGGCAGAGGAGCATTCGTCGGCCACGCGCAGGGGGGGGGGGATACTGCAGTATGCCATGATAGGAAGGATGGGGCAACTTTACGAGGCTACCCTTGCATCCTTGCCGCTTCGGTATGCGGCATCCTTCGGCGTTCTGCTGCGCTCCGCACGGAAAAGGTCAGCATGGCGTTCCAAGGCCCTTGCATCCTTACCGCGCATCCTTACTATCCTGGTCGAGTCTGTGTCTGATCGCCGGCGAGCGAGGGGGGAAGCAAGGGGTAGAAGGCCCTCTCAGGAGGCGCTGGGAGTTCTCAGAAGCCCTGGCGCCTTCTGAGAGGTTTCCTGTGTCTTCGGGGAGGGTTGAGGAAACTTGTCAGAAGACCGGGGAACCTCCGAGCCTTCGGAGAGGGTCCGCCCCTTTTCACCTCCCCCCGGGCTCGCCGCCGATCTCATGGATGCAAAATCCCGGGGAGGATTGTCCAAGGGGCGGTTGTCCAGTGGGGTCGTCCAGATCCCCTCATCCCCGCTAGGTTTTCCAAGGGGTTCCGGGTAGGCCGTCTCATGGGTTGTCCGGGTTGCCCAGAGGGTTGGTCCGAGGATCTTTTTTATTGGATTGTTTTTTCCATTGGACAGAGCAGTGGGAGGAGGGAAGTATTCTTAGAAGCACCCCTGCTTCTTAGAAGGTGAGGGCCTTGTCTGCAGATGTTGGCCGGCGTCTTCTAAGAAGCAGCCTCCTTCTAAGAAGCTTTCGCCCCTGCCCCTACCACCCCCTGTGCGCTGCCAAGCAAGAGATCATTGTAATGATACGTTCCGGGATGCCCAAGGCTTCCAGTGTGTTCCGTATTTCCTGGTCCTGCACCGGTTGCTCCGCTGAATGCTTTGCAGATCCTGCACCGTATCCTGAGCCAATCTTATCATGACATCATTCTCGCACTAGAGGGAGAAGTGATGATTCGGGGACCCCTAGGCGGAGTGGATTTTCGAGGTTCTGGGTTCGAGAAGGAGTTTTGCCTTGTTTTATTTCCGGTGGCCGTTTTCGGGCCCGGGGACCCTCAGACGCACATCCAGGGTGGAAAATTGCACCAGATAGACCCAAGGAGGGGGGTGGGGACAGATTTTGAACGGATTTCCCCTTATCCTCATGTCTTGACCGATTTCTCTGTGCCCATCCAGCTCAGGGCCCTTGTCCCAAGATGTCAGCGTCTGTCTGTGGCCTCTTCGGGGCGCCTGACCGGTCAGGTGACCACTCCATGTGCTGAGTCGGTCGAGATTCGGGGTCACCGCACGGTTTTGGAACTCGAGTCGTTCTCCGAAGACGTCTCGGGTGATTGGGGCCTCCGAGGTCCCAAAACCCTTGCGGTGACGGACCTCGCGGTAAGGTCGTCGGGGACTGATGTCACCACGTGGGCTGTCACCACGTGTTGTTGGGGCCCCTAAATGATGGAGGGGTGGATGGGGGTACTAAGACCCCCTCGCGTATTGAAACAATAACGACAGGCGTTATTTTGCTTGTTGCTATTTCAGGCCGCCGGGGTTCCTCGTCGGGCCCAGGGGGGTTGTCAAGAACGATTCAGGCTGAGAAGCCGGTCCTGGGGAATGGGTGGTCCAGATCTCTGGGGGCGATGTTGTAAAAGAACATGATGTTCGGGGTCTGGGGAGGAGTAGGAGGAGGCGCTGCCATGCGGTTGCGCCCAGCGCGACGGTCGGTTGAGCTCTTTCTTGGGCCGCGAAGCGTGTGAAGGATGTGCCGAAGTGGGGACTGCGTTGCCATACGGTTGCGCCCATTGAGGCCGTAGGTGGAGCGTCGTATGGGGCCGCGCAACGTTGAGGGTGCGCCGAAATAGGCATGCGTAAAGCAGAGACAGCAGAAGGAGGAGGAGGTGGAGGAGGAGCAAACGCACGCGCTTCGGATTCAGAGCGAGGACCTAAATCAACACCGGAGGGTTGGGGTAGAACAAGCATCGGGATATATCGATGAAGAATAGGATGGACAGGAGAAAGACAGGTAGGAGGATGGGGACAAGCAGGGCGATGAGATAAGCAACAGCATAGACAGGCTGCAGCAGGAAAGGGGCCGATAGTAGGAGGGCCGATAGTGTTGATGATGATGATGATGATGATGATGATGATGATGATGATGCTGATGCTGATGCTGATGCTGATGCTGATGCTGATGCTGATGATGATGATGATGATGATGATGATGATGATGATGATGCTGATGCTGATGCTGCTGATGATGATGATGATGCTGACGCTGACGCTGCTGCTGCTGCTGTTGATGACGACGATGATGATGCTGATGACGGTGATGGTGATGGTGATGATGAGGATGATGATGACGATGCTGCTGGGTATGTAGAAAAACAGCGCAGCTGTGGAAGGTACAACCACCAGAGAAGGACAGGAGGGGTGGGGAGGGTGCGCAGACGCGAGCATGAACGATCGGACTGAGGCTGTCAGCTTTGTGTCACCATTTTGGCTCGTGCCGCCGTGCACGTTTCATCTCTGTCACCTCTGTCTGGCCGAAGTGGGAGCTTTTCACAGCGCAGCTAAGCTGCAGAGAGCCATGGATCCGACGCCGACCGAGCGCGAGGGCATCGCCAACGTCGCCAGCCTGCTCACATGTGCGGGGCTGGCAGAAGCGCAATGCAACGCCTTACACGCCATCCTCGGCACGGCAGGCGGCGACCCGCTGCGCGCGCTTGGCGCGGTGACGGGCGACGAGCTCACCTCATCGCTCGCGACCCTCACGATCGGCCGCATCATGCCGGCCCTGGCGGTGAACGGCAAGGTGCGCAACGCTCCCCGCGCGGCGCGCGTGCTGTGCGGCCTCGCGCGACCCGCCGCAGAGGAGTTCGCGGCTGCAGCAGCGACGGCCGCCGCTGCAGCAGCGGCGGCAGCCCAACCGCCCACTGCAGCGCAGGCACATGCCCCGGTGACCACGGGTATGACGGTCAGGCTTGAGCATTCCATGGACCAGGCGATGACGCCGGAGATCCCGCGGCTCCGCGATGAACGCGTCTGGCGTGGCTGCACGGAGCACCAGCTCCGCCTGGGCTCTGTGCCCGCGCTGGGCGAAGAGCCGGCGGCGGACCAGATGACCAGCAGCGACTAGTTGAAGTTGGTCCCGCCTTACGCCGACTTCGGGGTGTTGGGCCGCCGAACGTGGACGAGTGAGTGGCTTGCGAACTATCGCGTCATGCGCACCTGCCTGGTCATCGCGAGTTCGCGCATCGCTTCTCCAGGAAGGTCTGGGCGATCATGTACTCTGGGCGATCATGTACCAGGCGGACGTGATGATGCGCCTCGAGCACATGCGATCCATGAGGTGGGACGCTTTCGCGAGGATTGCTACGGACGCTGACGGTGCCTCTGCGGCAGGCCTCAGCCAGACCGATCTTGAGGAGTACATTTGGAACCAGGCCGTGAAGGGCTCGGGCCAGTTTATGACGAAGCAGCTGGTTGAGCCATCTAAACTCGTATTGTCGCACTCGACTCAGCTCAGCGCTGTGACCGACGGCGACGCGCTGGTCGCAGGGGGGCCGCAGCAGATGGGCGACAACAACTCTGTTACGAGGGTGGCGGCAGGCGCAATCCCCGGAGGCCGTGGCTCCTGTGGCGGCACCGGCGGTGAACGGCAGCCCCGCGACCGCCGCACTGAAAAACACAATGCGGGTCCCAACGGCCACCTTGTCACGAATCGCCGCGGGCGCAGGCTGTGCTTGAAGTTGAAGACGGGCGAGTGTCCGACTGCGGCCGACGGCATCCATTGCAGCCGCGATGCCGCCCCGGGGACTGGGAAGATGCCTCTTCGGGGGGCCAGTCCTGCGCGAAAGGCGGGGGAGGCACCGCTGGGAGTGCATGGTGGTGAAGACGACAGGGTCGCGGATCCGCCAGAGTGCGTTCGGAGGCCGCCGGCCCAGGGCGTATCGGAGAGCTCCCGCCCGAGCTCTTCGAAGAGGCGCCGGCTGGGGAGGAGCGCCGGCGCCCGTCCGGCGCCCACGGCGTCGATCGATGATTGCAAAAGTTTTGCTTGCATTCGTTTGCCCTCACCTGGAGGGCGGTGTGGCTGCGTCTGTGGAGCGATCGGGCGCGACGACGGTCGTTCACGACATGGCGCTGAGTCGAGAGCTCGATTTGGCCGACCAGATGACGCGGGACGTCTTGCTGCACCGTATGGCGAACTTGCCGCTGCCGGTTGGTTCTCTCCCAGCGACACGGTCGAGCGTGGCGCTCCATTGCGCGGCGCCGCCGGTGCAGTTCGGCAAAGGCCAACGAGGGCTTCGATGCGAAGGAGCGTCCGCAGGGCCAAAGTGTTGGCCCGTCGCAGTGCCGAAGGACTTCGCTGCCTGGTGGAGCAAGGCGCGCCGTCGGTCAGTCGGCGGACGGCGCGGCGCGGATGGTCGCGATGGGCGAGGTCGCTGCGGGGGAGGCGTATTCGTTTTGACCAGGGCGACTTCGGCAGCCTTGCGGGACTTTCGCCGCCGTCGTCTTTAACGTGACAGTCGAGGACTGCATGATCGCTGGTCTCGCTTGGGCCAGGCCGGGGCGTTGCGCCACGGTCAGATGTGCGAGCGCAGACCGCGGGGCATCAGCGTATCCTCGCCTGCTCTGCAAGTGGCTGGCCAAGCTCCCCGCATCTTCGAAATCGTCGCCTCATCGACCGATGGTCCGAGTTGGTTGTTGGGGAAACTCGCTGGCGGCCCAGGGCGAGGTCGCACCTCCCGGGCCTCGGCCTGTGGCCGAGAGCCTCGAGTGGTCGGCCAATCTCAGTGGGGTTGATCGGTCGGACAAGCGGCTATAAGGGGATAGCCTGGCCTTGGGAGGATGGCCGGAGCCGCGCGGCGGAGGCGGTGAAGAGGCTGCCGAGCGCCGCGGCTGCCGGGGGCACAGGCGGCTCTGTCTTCGACATCTTATGCGCGGGCCCCAGCCCAGTCGAGGCCGCGCGCGCGGCCGTCGGCGAG